GACCTGTTCTTTCCACTGGGATCTCACTCACTCTGTAACTTTCTAGAGCCCATATTCTTTAAACATGACAGTTCTGTGTCTTCATTCTTCTTTCTCTGGGAATAGGTAAATGCCTGAGAATGTTTCCATTAAGGGTCTTAAAGATCTTTCTATTTCCTTAAGGGACAGGTAATTGGGGAAAGTTGGTCAATATGAAGAAAGAGTTAACCACAAATCTACCTCATAGGAATGGTGACCGGTAAAACCGAGCTGTTTGCATTCCTACTTCATGACAGTTTCTCCTCCCAGAGCTTGGGATGGGAATTCTTGCACTGCCCTATTCCAAAGGAATTCTTCCTCCATAAAACGTTTTCCCCTTACTAAGAGATGCCTTTCTGGCCAACCTTCAGGAATTGATATCTCTGCCCTTATCTATATGAAAGACCCTCAGGTCTTCCTCAATCACTGCCCGACCCGCAGAGAAAACAAATCATCTTCTCTGGGCTGATTCACCAAAACTCCACTCTGGATGAAAGTGTGGAGTTGGGGCTGACGCTGTGGTGTAGCAGGTAAAGCCGTTGTCTGCAGTGCAGGCATCCCATGTGGGCACCGGTTCTAGTCCTGGCTGCTCTACTTCCGATCCAGCTCTCTGCTATGGCCTGGGAAAGCAGTAGAAGATGGCTCAAGTCCTTGGCCCCTGCACCCACGTGGGAGACCGGAAGAAGCTCCTGGCTCCTGGCTTTGGATCGGCACAGCTCCAGCCGTTGCAGCCATCTGGGAAGTGAACCAGCGGATTGAAGACCTCTTTCTCTCTCTGCCTCTCCTTCTCTCTGTGTAACTCTGACTTTCAAATAAATGAGTAAATCTTAAAAAAAAAAAAAAAAAAAAGGAAAATGTGTAGAGTGCCCACTTCCAGAAGGCCCTTCTCTGCATATGTGGCATGTCAGGCCAAGGTAAACTGACTCCAATGAGGAAGGTGGTTTTAACTCGTGATAATAAACCTAGAAATATTCACAGCTATGTTTCGTTAGGTGCAGTAAGCTTGCCTGAAATTTTTCTCTCAAGCCAAAGGTTTTTGTTGGGATTTTTTATTTTTATTTTTATTTTTATTTTTATTTTTATTTTTATTTTTTTATCCTCCAAGTAGTCAACACCTGGGATCTCACAGACTGGTCTTTTGTGGTGAAACTGTTTCGTTGAAAGAAAATGGAATTTTAAAACATCCATCATATGCATCCATATGCACAGTTTATAGATTTTTTTTTCTGGTGGCTTTTTCTTAACAGTTGTAACCGTGTTGGTATAAAATTCCCTAATCAAGGTTCACTTTGTGTGGACACAGTGTGGCTGTTTAACATCATTTACTCAACATATCTATGGCAGAGTCATTCTTGGACGTAAACACCAAGATTTCTCATTCCTCGTCTAAGGGTCATTGGATTGTTTCTCCACTGACCACCTTCTCAAGGCCAATGTATTTATGGAAATAGCTCAAAAATCACAAAAGTTATTTATGAGCAGCATATGAACGGTGCTGAGTGGTAATACCTGTAATAAAACTTGAGTGTTTGACCCGTGTTTACCACCTCAGTGAGGGCCTTGGATGTCAGTGAGATGAAGACATGGCTTGTTGCCTTCTCTTGGACACCTATTTTGAACATGTTAAAAGTGTGATAATATCCCCACTTTGTAACTTCCCAGAGCGGCTCCTGTGCAACGTGTTTGCCACTCTGGTTGACCTGGAGGAAATAAAGACACTGGAAAGTGAAAACTTTACAGACAAGCAATTGCTTTCCACACAATGTTTAAACTATACATTGATATCATACGTAATTCCTTCTTACCTAACAACTTCAAAATAACAGAAGTGAAAAAAAAAAAACTTTTTTCCCTACTGCCATAATGACTCATAACGAAGTGATTATCTTTGATTAAAAAAAATTAACCTATCATTTATTTTAAAGATTGATTTATATATATTAATTGAAAGTCAGAGTTAGAGAGAGAGAATCTACTTTCTGCTGATTCACTTCCCAAATGGCCAACCCAAAGCCAGGAGCCAGGAGCTTCTCTGGGTCTCCCACATGGGTGCAGGGTCCCGAGGACTTGGGGCCATCTCCTACTGCTTTCCCAGGCACATTAAGGGGAGCTAGATTGGAAGTGGAAACAGAAAAACTCTTGGGATTACATAGCGGCTCGTTTCAAACATCTGCTACCATCCAGTCTTCATGAGGGCAGGGGTCTTTACCAATCTCCAAGAAATGTTAACAGTGCCTGCCATAACGTAGACACTTAATGCATTTTTGGTGGTTTTTTTTTTTTTTTTTTGCAAATAATGAATGAATAAGTAAGAGTTTTTCATGCTCAACTTGGTATAACCTATTTTTGGAGTGTGAATTCTTCCCAATCCACACACAAAAAAGTATTAGCCAAATTTCTTTCTTTCCTTTTTTTTTTTTTTTTTTTTTGACAGGCAGAGTGGACAGTGAGAGAGAGAGACAGAGAGAAAGGTCTTCCTTTGCCATTGGTTCACCCTCCAATGGCCACCGTGGCCGGCGCACCGTGCTGATCCGAAGCCAGGAGCCAGGTGCTTCTCCCGGTCTCCCATGCAGGTGCAGAGCCCAAGGACTTGGGCCATCCTCCACTGCCTTCCCGGGCCACAGCAGAGAGCTGGACAGGAAGAGGAGCAACCAGGACAGAATCCGGTGCCCCGACAGGATCCAGAACCAGGGGTGCTGGTGCCGCAGGCAGAGGATTAATCTGTTGAGCCGGGGCGCCGGCCCTAAATTTCTTATATCCACAAATTTCTTTATGAGTTGAGGAACTTCTGAGGCAATGGAGACTGAGCTCATGTTTAACAAAATGCCACAGAACATACAGCACGTGTGGGAGAGTAGGATGATCCCTTAACTGAACTCACCCACCCAGGGAGGTCAGAAACACTCAGCCTCAGGTAATGGGGAGAAAGGAAGGCCCAGCGCCTGTGCAAAGAAAGAGGCTACTTGTGGACTTCCAGAACGGGGCTTCCAGCTCATCACTAGATCTTAAGAGACCTGGATTCCTATCCGATATCCAAGTTCCATCCATGGATGAGCCACCCCACCCCACGTGAAACTGTGCTTCCATGTTCTAGAACAAGATTCTAAAATTAAATGATGACAAGAAAACATTCACACACACACACACACACAGAGAGAGAGAGAGAGAGAGATAAAATTCTGATAAGGTTAGTGCGGAGCTAAGTGAAAGTTCTAGAAATTGAAAACACTGCCTTTAAGTGACACGGGTGCAATGAAAACACATTTTAACATTTTTAAGGTTTAGGAAAAAAGAAGGTGGGGGTTGAGGAGCTGAGGCCTGGAGTCGTGACCAAGTGGAGGAGCAGACGGTGACCACGGCACGTATGTTCTCGACTGTTGAGTCCTGGCTCTGGTTCCACGTTGCTCACCTGTGTTGATATTGCCACATATGTAGGCAGCACAACGCTGCTGACACTGTGTTTGTCTATGGGTTGCTGTTCACAGTGTTGCAAAATAACCCAAAGCCTACTAACTCCATCCAGCCCATAGGTCACTGACCTATTTATAATTCATCCATGACCTCCAACTCCCCTACTGGGAGTGGAGTGTTAAGTCCCTGCTGTCACTGCCCAGAGCTCTTAGTTTATCCCACTGTCTCTGACACTGACCTCTCCAGATGAAGGGGAAAAGTCACACTGTTATTATGGGTTGTCCTTCAGAAGAGATAGCACAAGACCAAAGAATCCACTGTGCCCCAAGTAGATGGTTCAAATTTATCATTCAGAAAACTGACTTGAAGTCTAGTTTTACAAAGCCTTAATGTTTTCTATAGATCCTTTTCTCCAAGAGCACAAATAATTTCCTTCTCAAGGGCCACAGGTAGGAGAAACTGAGGCTAGATATTTCTCTTAATATTCAATTTATTTGGAATTAGAGCATTTCCAAACATAGTTCACATAAAACACAAACTGTACTTCATCCCATCCCAAATTCATCTCATGTTTATATCTCCATTTGCCTTGTGTTTTTCCCCTAACAACTTATTTCCCATTTATGTGATCCGGCAGTACTAAATACATTTTCAAGTGTTCCTCAGTTACTTCTAGAACAAGGTGGTGGGGAATTAAACAAACACGTGCACACAGGAACAGTGCCACGGAAACACTAGGGAACTTCAGAGCACCAGCTGTGTTCCACTTTGACCACAGCTTCGTCCTCTGGTCTACACTAACTTGCTTCCCCCTTTGTTTTTGTTTCCTACGGCATCAAGGAGTAGCACAGCAGTTAACCCATCTCTGGGGTGCGTTCAGGTTTAATGAATGAATGAGTCTAATGCCTTCACAGGGCCTCACCCGAGCTGTGCTGTAACTGCACGTTATTAGTGCTGCTCTGACAGCACCACCTCGGGACCCTCGGCCCTTAAGCTGGCTTGAGATAGGAGGGCTCAGGAATAATAACAGCCCTTTTCCCGGTGTGCCTCTCCCCCCGGACCCTCAGAGAACGTAATGGCATTACCTTATTAATGCGAAACTCAGCACGGGATGGATGAGGATGGCTACTACTTCCTGCTTCCACGTGCTCACCTGTGATGTGAGCACAAACAATATGGGGCACCTCAGACATGGGCCCCTCTCCCTTCTGTCACCACAGAGGCATGGAACTAGGCAATGCAGCTGGGAAGAGTGGGTTCTAGTTTGGTATCACGTATATGTCTCCAGAGAGTAGTAAGAGAAGGAAGCCACACTAATGTATGAAGAAGCCTGATGGGGATGCTATTTTTTTTGTTTAGCCATCCTTTGGTCACACTCGTTAAATAAAGAAAGCATCCAATTTTTCTTTCTTAATTTGAGAATTTTGGTTTTTCTTTTCCTACACTGATCTCAACTAAATACATAAGAAGTATATAGGTTATTGGTTCATTTTAAATGGCTGACCCACTAGAGCCTAATGTATACCATTTCATGGACAAAATATTTCACATTATAAGAGACTTTTTTAAAGATTTATTTTATTTATATGAAAGAGTTACAGAGAGAGAGAGAGAGAGAGAGAGAGAGAGAGAGAGAATGAGTGTGTGTCTTCCATCTGCTGATTCACTCCCCAGATGGCCACAATGATCAGGCTTAGGCAAGGCCAAAGCCAGGGGGCCAGGAGCTTCTTCTAGGACTCCCATATGGGTGCAGGGACCCAAGAGCAGGAGCTTCTTCTAGGACTCCCATGTGGGTGCAGGGGCCCAAGAACTCAAGCCATCCACTGCTTCTTTCCCGGGCACATTAGCAGGGAGCTGTGTCAGGAGTGGAGCAGCTGAGATTCAGATGGGTGCCCATGTGGGATGCCAGCATCACAGACGGTGGCTGAACCCAGTACACCACAGTGCCGGCTCCTGTAAGAGACTTTTAACAAATAAGAAATTATTGGGCAAGAATCATTGTGTGATTGCTTAGAGCTCCGTTTGAAGGGTAAGGAATTTGTTGGCCAAAAAAATTATGACACGAGCCAGCTTAAAAATATTTCAGCTACACTTCTTGAAACTATTCCATAAACCAGACAGCCCTTTCCTAACACTGGTCTGGACTCAGAAGCAGTAATTCTAGGGTATTCAGCCTCAGTCGTCCGCTGTCGTGGGTGCACCCTGATGAGTGTGTAATCATGCTCTTGGGCCCTTCCATAACGCAGTCTCTTTGAATTGAGCTCCAAATGGACCTGGTTCTACCAGAGGCTTTAAGAGTATAATTCCTATTACGCGTGTTGCTTGCAATGTTGAATCTTTTCCACCGTAAAATTCCTCCAACATTTTTATAAGTGACTTTTAAGTAAACTCCATAATTCCACTGCAGAGACCTGGCATTAAGTGCTGAGATGATGGGGATCATACTGAGTTGTCTACTCACAAAAATATTAGAAATAGAACGAGCCCCTGGGCTCTCTGTAACTTGGTTAAACCTCAGGCGTTTAGCTGACATCATTCATTGGCATCTGTGTTTCTTGCCTCACTCTTTTACCAATGGGTAATGGAAATACAGTTGTCAGCGTCAAATTATCCAAATGTGAGCAAACTAACTCTTTTTAACATTCTGCCTTCCCGAACCCCACATGGCCCTACCCACTTCTCTTCTTTTCCTAATGGGAGAGGAGCCCAATCTCCATGTCAGACATTGCATTCGGTCTTGGGCCATTCACAGTGACCGATTCTTCAAGCAGCACATCAAGACAGTAATTGGCCTGGGCTGCTTCACAATGATGTATGTAATGGAAACATTCCTCCTGGACACCTGCAACAACTAGCTTGAGCTTTGAAGCATGAGATTTGCTTTCTCCCTTTTAGCATGCAGACTTACAAATATTGTTATTGATCATAAAATCATCCAGTCCTTTTAAAATACAGCTACACTGTTTGATGAAAGGACTTTCTACTGCCATAAATTTCACACTGACTCCCCTCAGCGCAGAATTTTCTTTCCACTTGTTTTTTTTTATGTGTCTGCCATTAATTTCTGTGAGAATTCGTTAGCCCCATGTCAGTGGATGACTTACAAAGGAGGAATTGGCAGGTTCATTTTACTCTCTGCTTAACAGGATACTAAACTGTCTCCTCTAGGAAAACATTGCTCCCTAACTTTCAGGAGAAAAGTGTGTCCTCCTCTCTCCTGGGCCAGGAAGTCAGAATTAAGAGAAGAAAAGCAGGTTGTGATACAGATTTTGATCTCCTTACTCATTTGTGTGTTGACATTTCTCACCTCCTTCTGAGTTCTTAAAACTTCCTTCACCCAAGTCAAAGAATCAGTTGACCCAACCAGGCCACCAGTTGTCTGCACACACCAAAATCATGGCTTGCTGTAAGCCAACCAGGCTGGTGTATTGCAGAATTCAGGCTGCTGTATTGCAGAATGGACTTTGAATTTCCCGTTCGCCACTGAGCACAACAGAGCACTCCGGACTATTTTTAAGAACAGTTTTCTTTTTGAAACAGTTAGGACAATTGGCTAGCAATTCAAGTCCAGAGATATGACTTCCTTGGGAATATCTTGATGTTTTTAGCATCAATTATTGGGGTAAATCATAATTTGTTTTTCACTTTGCAAGTCTAGATTTGGCTTTAGGAAATCCTTTGGAAACTTGCCCTCAAAAAGCCTCACTTGGAGCACGCCAGCCACCAGCGGCTCAGGATACCCGAAAGACCAAGAGAGAACAACTTCTCTCCTTATGGGAGCCTGTGTCCTTGCTGACAGCAGTTGCCACTTACGTGAGATCTGGTAACAGTGTTTATCCCTCCCATGTGTTGAACACAGAAAAGTGGCCTTTGATTTGTGGCTACAGATCTCATCAGATGGACTGTGTATTGCTTTTGACGAAAAAAGGAGGAGTTAGTAAAAAATGATCATAATTTAAAACCCCAGTGTTTTTACTCTTCCTAGAGATCAATATCTCTCTAAGGGGCACTCCCTTCCATGATAGACAGGTTGACGAAACTCTGATCATCATCTTAGCTGTCTCCATTTCTCAGCACCAATGATTAAATAACTTCAGCGTGTATGAATTTGTTTGGGGTGTTTTAAAGTAGGCTAATTCTGTTCCAGTTGAATGTCCTTGATTATATGGTACTCAGACAGAAGGAGATTACAAAACACTAGAAACTATTCAAATGTCTTTGTGTTAATTAAATTGCCAGAAATTTTATCATCAGGCTATAATGATTGCAAAGCCCTGGCAGGATGTGCGTCCCCTCAAAGGAGCAGCAGGCTGGAAAGACAGCCTCCCTCTGCTGACTTAGCAGGCCTGCCGGGCCCCGCGAACTGGGCAAAGCAGCCTTGTGGTACTAAGTGGATGGCTGGAGGTTTTGCAAGATTTAAAGAAACGCGTGCACTCTATCAGATCTTGAATCTGCTCAGATCAGGACAAGCTTTTCTGCCTTTTTTATTTCAAAGCCCGAGCACTGCCATTAGAACTTGGGCATGTGAGTTTTCCCTGCAGCTTCACGGCCTGTTAGAACTCATTTCATGAACAATATTTTAGGGATTTTTTCCTCTCGATTCTTATCATTGTACTTCCTTTTCCATTCTTCGGAACCTGATAGGAAATGTCCCATGCATGCTTCTCTCTCATGTGAACTTTGAAAATCCCTCTGGGAGAATATTTTCTGCCTAGCTTGGCTTTGAATGTGGGAACCTCATAATACAATGTGATAATGAACAATGTGAGACTGTTAGTTCGGTGATAGCAGCCAGGTCTATTGAGAACTCCTGCGTGTTCGGAAAGACACTGGATGGTTGCTCTGCGATGTGTCCCCCTCGGGGCTTTATTCTCAGTCAATTGTCTCTTCCCATGCATTACTCAAAGTAAGAAATTTGGAATTTTGTCCATATCGCAAACAGCTTTCCTGCTTGGACTACTGAAACTGTTTGCACTCGAAACTGGAAGCCAGGTGAAATCTGCACGTTTCTTTAGGAATCTGACACTACCCAGTTTACCAAGAGATTTGCCACGATTTGATGAACCTTTCTATGAACCTCGGGAAATTTCATGCGAAGGCTGAAACCGGAAAGGAGGCCCATTTCAGCAGGTGTCAGATTTCCTTCAGACCAGCTCCCCGCCACGGCCTCTCCTCCAGGTTGTATTAATTATTTCCTGCCTTGAGATGAGGGAGGAAGATTAACTGGCCGCACACACTACCAACTAACGCATTTCCAAGGAAAAAGGAGCCCCAGCCTACATGGATCTGAAGAAGTCAGCCTCATGGAATCTTGTCCCTCCCATCTGGAGTCACAAGTTGACCAGTAGCTTTGTTGAAACACAGCTAGCGCTCTGGGAAAAAGGGAAACCCCAGTGAAGATGGAAATCATGTCTTGACTGTCTAATAATGAAAACAACAAGACCGACATTGAAAGCTGCAGAGGGAGGAGAAGGGGGGATTGAAGATGTTTAAGGAGATGTTTAAGGAGATATTTTTGGATGAACAATTTTCGCGTTGTGTTCATTGATTCAATAATGAGCTCTTGATGGCGAAGAGGGAATTTGAAGACAAACATGCAGTTTATAAAACATTGCAATCCTAGTACAAGGAAGCAAGTGATGTGGTATGATTCTCTATCCTTCTTTTCAAATGAGTGAGGCCCTTGCATGTGTAAACACATACTATTTCTTTTGTAAATGTTTGCCTGAACCAGGCATTCCTCACTTCAGCACTGTGCATATTTGGAGCGGGAGGTGTCTTTGTTGTTGAGGGCTCAAGCCCTGTGCATTCTTGTTTCTTTCACAGCAGTCCTGTCCTCTGTCCAGGAGACACCTCCTGCTCCGAGTCGCCACGATCAAAATACAACCTCTCAGCATTTCAAAATACACCTCTCGACATTGTCACATGTCTCCTTTGAGCAAAAATCACCCCTAGTAAAGAACCATTTGTTTACCTCCTGTGTGAACTATGTCTCCAAATTCTGCAATTTACATGTCAGTTTGTTTTTTTTCCATGAGTTCTGAGAGCTTTATATATATATATATATATATATATATATATATATATTAAGACAACATTTGCTAAACAATTTGAAGGAACATCTAGAAACCATTGCAAAATCTATGAGTTGGAAAGAGTCTTTGAAAAATGACAGGATTCTAACAACAGCAACAGCCGCAGTAACACAAAATAAATTCTAAAATGCAATCCTATTAGTGGGGAAACAAAAGGTATCCCACAAAGAAAATACGACTATCAGTTTCTTTTAAATTTTTGAAAAGCCCACATGTGAAAATGATTACTGTCTTATTCTGAAAAAAATGCCAGAGTTACATTCTCCAACAGAGTAGACACTATCCATATGTGATTATTTAAGTTTAAATTTAAATTAAAGAAAATTAAATAACATTTAAAATTCAGTACCTTAAGTCACTAGTGTTTAAAGCCACCTGTAGCTATTGGCTACCATATTGGACAGTGCAGATGTAGAATATTTTCAACATGGAAAAAAGTTCTACTGGTTGGTACTGCTTAGAAAAGCAATAGGTAAAAGTTACAGTAGGATAATGTATAACTGAAAATGGAAAAAAACATAAAAATTTTAGGGCTTCTCTAATAAAATTTTAATAGATACCAAGAAAGAATTTTTCCTGGGTAAATGCTACCCTAGATGAACAAAATCCTCTAACCCAGACTCAAAATGGTCTGTAGAGATAAGCTTTTATAGCATTTTATGTAGTGGAGTTTTCATAATTTCTAAACAAAACCGTACAAAATTGGAAAAAAACATTCATATTTTAAAATCAGGGCATTTCAAATATTACATAACTTCCAGATCAAAAACAATATTTTCAAAATGAAGACTACTTATTTAGCCGGCGCCGTGGCTCAATAGGCTAATCCTCCACCTTGCGGCGCCGGCACACCGGGTTCTAGTCCCGG